AAGACGAGATGTCATGTAGGGCCTTGGGAAAGTAGTACCCTGGCGTCGAGGTCATGGCAGTCAACACAGCGACGCGGCCCTGCAGGCGGCTAAGTTTCCCTGGCTGTTTTCCTTACTGTCACCACACAGCTCTCACCTGGCCAGGAATCCCGCCAAAGGAGGAAACACTCGGGTGAAGGTTTCCTTGCAAAATGGCTACCAGTAATACCTCTCAGCAGAAAGTTGGGCACAACCTGTTGTACTTGATGAAGCGTAATATAATGTGAACTAGAAATGATAACTGACAACGCTCACGTGCATTCTGTGAGGAATCCAGGGAGGTATCACGCCCTTGTTTAATTTAAAGGTATTTCTAATGGGCGGTGGCTATCCAACCCATCGTATTAAACTTGGCCAACATAATGTAGTTTCTTCAACACACCCTCTGCGGCAGCTACGTGCATGCACATTTGCAGTTAGTTTGACAACAGCTCATCCTTCTGCTACTCAACTCCAAGCAAAATTCGGGCAGGGTCTGTGGATCCACTACTAAGGGTAGCTCACGAGTGACAGGCACATCGCGGGCTTTTATAAAAAGCCCATTTAACAAATCACTGACTAGAAGAGACGTGGCGATGCCAAGTGTGTGATTGTGCTAAGCTGTGTAAAAACGTCTTTTCGCCATAAAATACAGAAAATGGGCACATGAATGACCTTCCCTGTATAGGGTCCTTTATATACTCTCACTTTAAGTGTACAGCCGGCCTGGAAGGGAGGGGCAGGGGACACAGGTGGCCCGCCAAGTTCACAGAAGGAGAAACTGAGGCTGGGGCCGTCTGTCCGCGCTCGCCGTCGGTCCGGCTCCGGGCTCTTGGGGCTCCCAGCCGGCTCACTCACCTCGCCCGCGGTGTTGGCCAAAGCAATGAGATCCCGCTTGGGTGACCAGACCAGGAAAATGATCTCCTGTGGCAGCTGCTTCTCTCCCACCACCCGGAAGGACGGGAAACAGGTCGGAAAACGCAACATGGGGGCGACCCTGCAAAGACATCCCAGTCGGAGGCCGGCAGGGGCTCCCCGCACCCGCCGCGACTGGGCCTGGCGCCCGCGCCGCCCTCACCCCGAGCTCCCAGCGCCCCTCACCGGCCCCCCCATAGAGCCCCGACAGCGGAGATACCTGCGAGGAGCCCTCGGGCGGCCTCTGCCTCCCTCCGCCCGCTGCGCGCCGCCGCCGCCGCGCGCTCCGGGCACTTCCGTCGCCCGGACTTCCTCGCGAGAGGAAGAAGGCTGCGCGGGCGTGGGACTGGGCGCGGAGGGCGCGCGGTCCGGCCCCGGATGCGGAGGCTGGGACGCAAGGGGTGTGCGGGCTGCAACGTGAGACGCGGGGCTGCGGGAGCGCGCGCGGGGCGGCCCCGGATGCGGGGCTGGAGGAGGGCGGGGCGCCTGCGCGGGGGCCGCGCGTCAGTCTGCGGGCCGGGCTTGTGGCCACGTGCGTGCGAGCCCGCGGGGCTTGTCTGTTTTCCCGAAAATTCCTTGTTGTGGGTGAATGGACAGCCCTGGGGTTAGGGGTGAGGCCTCAGAGACCAGGGAGAGACGAAAAGGAACGCAAGCTTCAGGTCGGGATCAGCTGGAGCCTCCTCGGACAGACCCTTAATAGGTATTCAGTCCCGGTTGCTCGGAAGAATCGCCTGGAGAGATTTTTGACCCCCCCTGCCCAGGCAGTGTCTCATAGCAATTAGAGAATACGGTATGAGACCCAGTCTTGATTAAAACTCTCTAGATGATTCCAGTTTGCAGCCAAGGTGGGAGGGCACTGCTCTAAAAGCTCCGACATAGGCAAATGCCCTCTTTATCCCATGTAAGCCTCAGAACTTTCTGGTAGTAGTAGTGCCACCATAATAAATGAGGACTGTGGGCTCATCTAGGAATTATCCAATAGCTGTTTGAGCATCTGCTATGTGAAAATCTGGACCACACAAATGCGTGGGACATGGGCTCTGCCCTAAAAGGCTCACAGGTCAGCCTGATGCTTCCATATACAGGACACATTTGAATGTGTCAACATATTCGTAAGTGCCCACAAGTTATGACCGGGTTAAGAGAATGTGACAGTATCATCCTTTGATTCTTGAACTTAAAATCTGCGATGGCCAATGGGCAGCTGGGAAGGCAGGTTCCAAGGGGCAAGTTCAGGGCCTGTGTAAAGATGTGGGATCCCCTGTGTACAGGGATGGAAGATGGGGTTGTGTGGGATGTGGCTAATCTAGGCCATATGAAAGCCTGTTATTTTGAGAGGTCTATTTTGAAGCCATAAAATAAGTATAACATACAAAAGATGCAAATAGAATTTGCTGGAAAGAAAAATAATGTAGGTTGGTGTTGGAATCTCTCTGTCCTACTAGTTTCATTCATTAGGCAACAACAAAAAAACCTAACTGAAAGTGGCACAAGTAATAACTAGAATGTATCGGCTCATGTAAATTGCCAGTCCAGCAATAGTGCCAGCTTCAGGGCAGGCTAGGTCCAGCCACTTCTATCACCAGGTACCCAGCTCAGGGTGTGTGTCATCATCATAAGGCTGGTTTCCCATATGGTCACTGGAAGACTGCTATCAGCACCTGGAGTTACATGCTTCCTCATTCAGAGAACAAGCACCACTTCACCAATCACAAGATTCAAGTCCTGAGCCCCGCTGTGATTAGAGCAACCCGTCACCTAGCAGAAATCAATCACAGCTAAGGGGGATGGAATTATGCCCAATAAAAAGCCTTCCCCCAAGAGCTGAGAGGATGTCCATCATCCCTCCCCCAAATCTCATGGCAAGAATGAGGCTGTTGAAGGAACCAATCAAGTGTTCCATAGGACAATCAATCGTAACTACTCAAAGGGTAGTTTTAAGTATGAAGCACATTTCGGAGATGTTCCATCCTGGCAGAGGGAGTCTAAAATGTATCAATTCATGGTGTTCTGTTTGTCTCCCACAACCACTTTGCTGTTCTGGGAAAGAAATTCAGAGACCAACTCATGATTCCCACCTTGAGATATTAGGTCTACTAAAAGCTACAGAACCAGTATTCATATGTATAGGAATTTATCCTAAGGAAATAAGAGACTTGGTTATAAGTATGTCCATCATAGGGTCATTTATAATACAATAGTGAAAAAATGCAAATAACTTAGATGTCCAACCACAGATTGATTAAAAAAAAATACGGTACATTCATACTAAAGAATACTATTTTTGTAGATATAAATTGATATCACATGTTTATGAAGAGTATTACAAAACAATTCCTTTTTTTGGGGGACAAATTTTAGAGTGTGTCTGTCTATATAGCTATTTATAGTCTATCTTTGGAAGAACATACTCATATACAGAAGTTGTGACTGATTATTTCTGGGTGGTAGGATTAGAGTTGCTTTTCATTTTCTTTGATTTACCTGGCCCATGTAAAAAGAAACCTTTATTTCTTTTGTCCTCTTTAAGCATGTAGAATGTTAGGGGTCTGTTCTAGTTTTCTCCCACTCCTCGCCTCCACATTTGCAGATGAAGAAACTGGCCCATGTATTCAGGCTTAGTTTCTTAGAGATCAGAGGTTGTTACACTTCTAGTCTGCAGGAGTATGAAGTAACTAAACAGTGTGAAAATCTTGTGACAGTCCAGCTAATGGGATAAAACTCACCTCTCAGAGCTCTGAGATCTGCTCACCTTTGGTTCTTTTTTCCCCTGTCTTGCTGAGTTAACATTTATACTAAGTCACCTGAAATCAAATAGTAGAGATCTTATCTTCACTTTATTGATTGCAATGACCTTCTTAGCTGACCCTCAAGTCATTTAACCCATGTCCTAATGTTCCAATTAAAATCACATCATAAGTGAAATTGCTTTTCCTTTGCATTTCCTTACCTACGCAGCCCTAAGCGTATTAGCTTCTTACTCATGTAGCACAGTTAGAGTTCTGAGGCATAAAGCGGTATATTAAATGACATTTCTACTCACTCAATATGTATTTATGAGCAGCCACTACTTGGAGGGTGAAGAAATGTGCTAGCCTGCTTCTCAGGGTTTTGGGAGGAATACAGAGATCACATGTGCTACAGCTGTCTCTCATATCACCATGTGCAAGACACAGCTCTAGCAGCCAGTAAACATACACAATGATGTCCACAGGACCCTGCCATCAATGAGCTTTTTATCTTACAAAGGAAACAAGCACCAAAAGTCAACCTAACACCTGGTTTAAGTACCTTATAAGAAGTATAAATGGAAAGACACAACACACACGCATTTTTATTTCACTGGCACGCGATGTACTATTGCACTAGAGACACCAAAAGGACATTATGAAGGAGGTGGCATCAGACCAGGTCTTTTTGTAGACGGATTTTATATTTAAAAATAAGTCAAACTTCTCTCAGGTGCCTATTATTTTACAGATTACTTGAAGGGGCCAGACATCAACTGAAGTGTTTTTCTTAAAATAACCTTGAAAGTGGAATTATTATAGATTTAAAGACTTCCAGATAAGGCTGCTAATCTTGCTCACACAGCACATCCCAACATTTAAACCCTCGGTGTTAGAATAGTCTTCCTATTGACTCTAAATTCCTCCTAATATTGTTTAGGTCTGATTTCCTTATGCTAGTTATTATAAGAAAGAGAAAAAAACAGTTCTCTCCATATCTTAGGCATGCCTGCTGTTAGGAACTGAACTGTGTCCCCCAAAATCCATATGTTGAAGCTCTAACCCTCAGTACCTCAGAATGGGACTGTATTTGGAGATAAGGCATTTAAAAAAGGAGAGTAAGGTAAAATGAAGCCATTAGGGTGGGCCGGGCCCTAATCCAATCTGAACGGTATCCTTGACAGGACATTTGGACACAGAGACACCAGTGATGCATACGCACAGAAAAAGACCATGTGAGGACACAGTAAGAAGGTGGCCACCTACAAGCCAAGGAGAGAGGCCTAAGGATAACCAACATCTTAATCTTGGACTTCCAGCCTCCAGAACTATGAGAAAATAAATTATTGTTGTTTAAGCTACTCAGTCTGTGATATTTTGTTATGGCAACCCTAGCAAACTAATACACCTACATCTGTAAACCTATACTATTCTCATGCTTTCATCCGATTTTTGAGTACCTACAACGCATAAGAGAGACATAAAAGTGTATAAAATGGTTACTGACATTAAGAAACTGCAATCTTTTGGGGAATAGAAGATTTAAATATATAAGAATAACACATGAAAAGTGCTTCAAAAATGGTGTGGAATGCCAAGGGATTGAGTCCTGGTACTGGTTGGCAACAGGGACTCATGCAATGGACTTGGGCTGGGGCCTGAAGGCGCCATAAGACTTTAATAGATGGCTGTATGGGACGAAATGTTCCAAACAGAAAGAAGAGAATGCGATGAAAAGACTGGGGCACACTGGAGAAATAAATTAGTCTAAATATCATACTAAAAGTAGGAAAAGAACTGAAATGTGATCACTCAGGGCCTACAAAGTGACTGTATTTCATTAAATTTTATAAGCAAGAAGTAGAATGAAATTTAGCTGTAATTGCTTAAGAAAAATGTCCTAAAATTTCAGGGATTTTCTTCTGTTGCTGTTTTGAGTATGTATCTTAATGTTCATATTTGCACATTTCTAATTAGAACATATGACCTCATCTTCCATCACACTTTACCTCTCAGAGACATTTTTACATCCTATTTATCTCTAAAGAAAGAAGATATTCAGTCCTAAAATTAGTATTGCTTGAACACAAGAACAGAATCAACAGTTTTCCTATTTTTAATTTTCTAAGAAGGTAACAAAGTTTTAAGTACATAATTCCTGATTATAAGTAATACCTTATTCCTCAATTCTAAGATGTACTTTTTCTTTGCATTTTAATATTTCTGAAATAAGATACATCTGAATTTTAATATGTACAATTAATGATATGGAGTTTTCCCCCCTAAAAAGCTATGATTACATCAATAATCATTTTACAATGGATAGTATCTTAAAACAAAGGAAATATGATGATAAGAACTATTGGCCACCAGGACCCAATTCTGAAGTAGTCGTGGTCCCTCAGGTGTCTGAGTTTCAGGGGAGATATAAATAGATTTTACCATGATACCATGGATATCACGGAAGTCAGGCAATGTCCATATCCATGCTGAATCAGAGAGGGGAACCCTCACATGGATTCTACAAGGTCCATATCTCATGGTAATTAACCCTATCACCATAGTAACCTATGTAGAAAAGGAGGCAAGAGATGAGTTTTCTGATGCTTATTAAGCCCAGGAGCTTAGCTCATCATTTGATGTCGCCTGATGTACACACTACCACCACAGTGACCAGGACCCACCCTGAGTACCCCACATCAGGCACCAAACAGTCCTAACTTACATACCAGATGGAGTTTAAATACTAATGGAGTACAGTTCTTCCACCTTTACTCACAGGGCCCTAGCTACGCCTAAGCAAAGATGCCTCCAAACAAGCTCTGAGGCAGGTATGTGGGAACAAGAGAAAACCCATTATGCAAATACAAGCCATTCAAAACTATCCAATCTTAAGGCAATAATGTCAGATTCTTAGCAGAGAAATGGGGGGATGAACTGTTTGTCCTTGGAGTTCAAACTACTTATGGCTCCAGAGGCATCTTCACTTGCTAACATTTCTGACCAATAACAGAGCTGAGAGCCTGGCACATGCTCATTTAATCACAAAAATAAACCTGAGGTATAGCTATTATTATTCCCTTATGATAATAAAGAAACAGGGGCTTCTAAAGAGTGAATAACCTGGCCAAGGACATACTGCCAGGAAGTGTTCGAATAGGAATGAAGGGATTTAGGCACCAAACTATCCTGCATTCTGCACCACTTTTATAAAGACAGAACCTTATCACCTAGGTTATAAGACAGGAAGTGACAGAGCAAGTTCTGAATACCTCATTCAGGCAACAAACATTTAGGTGATTCTATACCATCAAAGGGCAGCTGCAGAAAGTACTTGAAAAATGAATATTTAATAAATATATAACCATAATTTACAATTATATCTTTAGACTGCCTTTGTCAAAATTCTTTCCATCACCTTCAGATTCTGTCTAAAAATAACTGTATATTGTACTTCTCTTTACAAGTGGAGTCTAAGCCATCGTACAATGTTTAATATTTAAAATATCTTACTTAACACACTCTTATGTAATGTAAATAAAACCTCAGGTTTTCATTTCCTCCCGACTCTGGACAAGAATGCTGCATGCCCACTTTTCAGATAAAAGAGGCTAACATGACATGATTGGGAGAGATTTAAAGAGAGAAAAAACACGCAGAGACAGCTAGTAAACCAGCTAAGGATGGAACAACTCGCCAGGTCTCCAGGGACTCTGCTGAGGGGTCTATAAACCAGCAAGTACCACCTGCCTATTATCTAGTTCAGAAAGGTGCATACCTTTGAGAGCAACAGAATTTAAGTCCAGTGTGGCACTTCCAGAAAATGGCATCAAAGGCTGGACTATAAATCTTTCTTATTCTTAAGTCACTGGACATTTAAGAGCAGAGATATTGATGAACTCTCTCTCTCCTTTTCTTCTTCCTTGTAACAGACGTATGATTCATGGATTCTCCTTTAGTGGTCTCCATTTTCATCTTATTACTTTTTCTTTTCTTCTGCTTTCTGACAGCTCTGAAAAACAAGGTGCTAAATTATTTTGTAGAACGAGCACAGTGAATAATGTGATGAAGTTTAATTAACTAGCTAACCAAATAAAAAAACAAGGGAAAGAATTTACTGTATTATAAGCATAAATCCCCCGAATCCTAACCATAATAACAAGGAGATAGTCAGAGCCCTGACCAAGCAAAAGGTTTGAGAAAAGAAAATTCTTTGAAAGATGGTTACTACAGATTTAGAACAATCTATTCAGGACAAACACAGAGGTAAATAGTCAAGCCAACGAGTTGGGAGTTTTTTGGGGTTTTTTTATTATATATCTGTACTGCTCAACTCAGCACTTCAATCTCCAAATCCCTGAATTACATTTTTCAGAAAAAGGACAATATATTCTGGCAGTTAGCAGAGGTAGAAAAATGAAATAGCACCATAGAAAAAACTGACACTTACAGGCCCATCTCGTAAGTCTACAGCTAATTTTCCTTGCCTCAGTCAATCTGAAAGTCCTGCCAAGTGCCATTCAGGATGTCCACATTTTGTGGTCTGTTTTCTTGAAGACTAGCTTCAAAATGAACAAGTTGGAACTCACCCTCTAAAAACACTAAACCACACCAGAAAAAAACCATATCTGATGCTCTCTGAACTAAGTTACAGGCAATCTAGAGCTGAGAGATTACTGATCTGTTCATTCACTTTCTCCAAGCTAGCAGAATCATGCCATTTATCATAGCACCAATGAATGGGCTGGGGCTGCCCGCACTGGCACATCTGGAACCTTCCCGTAGCTATGTAGCAGTATCAATTATAAGACTCATTCTCCTAAAACACAACAAGCCTCAGGGAAAAGCTTATTCTTGATCTTCCCAGACCCAAAACCCAGGAAAGGTGCCTCATACACAGTGTGTAATCCCTCAGTGGACCAAAGTCAGGCCTCCCTTTTTGTTCATCAGCAATGTTAACAAATGTTAAGTGTTGGGAATACAAAAATGGATGGGCAAAATCTTTAACTTCAAGGAGCTAGGAGACTGAGACAAGGCAGATGTCACCCTTTCCTTTCCTTCCCTCCAATTTTTTTAGGGGAAGAAATTGAGGCTATGAAACCCAATGAGGAAGTGGTAAACAAACTTGATTCTAGAACCTGTGCTCTTAATTACCTTGATACTATAAATTATTCAGGTATGTTAAAATGCTAAGCGTATAGTAATTACTAAATAAATATAAATAGAGCCATATGACTATTATTCAGAATTTTGCTAAACAAATTTAAATTTTTTCATATTTAGATTTTGCACTATGGACTGGGGTATCCTACCAGTTCATAAAATAAATAAAACTGTCATCTTTATACTGTTTTGTGCATGTTACATAAATCTCCTTTCCCTCCAGCCATTGTTTTTTAAAGTAGGATAATGTCCTGATAAGTGATGATTTAGCAAATTTAATGAAGTATAGCCTCTTGATGGCAAAGTCAATGAAGCTATGCATGCCCGCATAACAAAATTTAAACAAATTTTCTTTGGCTTATCCACTCAAAAGAGCTAAATACAAACCAGATTTCACTAGAGGATACAGTGAACAAAAACAAAGAAAATACTCCTTTTTAATATGAATACATAAAACTTTCCAGAGATAAAATGTTTCAACAGTGAAGAACTGATTGAGTATAAATCAACTGTTTTATTTTGCCTTAAAATTAAATTGACCTAGTATTTGTCCTCTAAATTGTAGGTATTTATGTAACTGATAAAATGAGCTTTAACCACAAGAGGGAGCTAGCATCATTCTATTAATAGTTCACAACCAAAGGAAAATACTAAGGGAAAACCAATTAATATGAGACAGCAGTAAAATACATAAGATGAAACATTCTTTTATGCCATATATGCTAAAGGGCTATTAAAATTATTTTTTCTATTGTAAAGAAACAAATTTTGCATTGTCAATTTCATTATAAAAATGTTTGGAAGTAACACTGAAAGATAACTATTAACAGGAGTTTAGCAGTTTTTTCTGAGAGAACAAAGTACCATATCCTAAGGGATTTGCTCTGTGAATTAAACTTGATAAATCTAGTACTAAAAGATACTAGATGATTTCCTTCAATGAAAACAATGTATTACTACCAAATCGACTAGCCAGGCCTATTTGAGAACTAATGAAGAGCCCAGAATAAATTACTAAAATGCAAATTCAATTTCCACATATCATAAGATGACAGAATCAAAGGCTGAGCATGTTACTAATTCCTGTTTGCAACCAGAACTACACTGTAAATAGTTTAACAATCCCAGACCAGTGGTTTATTAGGTTGTATTATATTCTTGAAGGTTTCTAAGAAAAAATATTTCATAAGATTCTTCAATACACCTCTTTAATTAATTAAAAAATTCCACTTGTAGCCCGTGGATTATTTAGTGGAAATAATTAAATTAATTTGATAAAAAGTAATGGAAAAGGCAGTTTAAATGGAAGACAGAACTCAAATGGCTGGAATTTAATAGAAAAAAACAATTTTCACTGACCAAAATAAACCAACAAACAAATGGGAATGAATTCTAATACAATCATAAGTAGTTACCACAGACTCAGATACTTCTAATACTAATAGATTTAAAAAAAAATCACAAGTCATATGATAGCTCAAAATTTTTATCCTGATCTAAATTTTCATGTAATGTTAAACTTGGCTATCTGGTTTTCATATCAATAAAACAAGAGGACTCAATACCCACCATCCCTTTTAGTTTTTTTTTTAAAGTATAATCATTGAAGTTAGCCCAGGTGAAATAGCAATGGTTTTTCTAAATATGCTATTGTCATTGGTGTAACTTTGCTCTGAGTTATAACCAATATCAAATATTGGTGGGAGAAGGGAAATTATCATAGAAAAAAATGGTAAAAATTAAAAGTTTAAATATCAAATATGTCTAAATATTTCTCTTGAAGTCTGATATAATTTAAAGAAATAACTTCATTTTCCAATGTGTCCACTGTGGAATCACCCATTCCAGTCCATCTGAAATGCCTTCTCCATCCTTACCTGCTATCACATGTCTACGCCCCATCGTCCTGACTTAAATATCATGTCCTTCAATCAAGCCTGAACTCTCACCCCACAAATTATAATTTCACATGAACCACGGGCAATGTAAAGTGAGTCACTTTCTACCTTGTTTTGTAATATTTTAAGCTATTTCATATCCTCCCCCCTTCATCTATGCAAACAATACATAGCGGTGAAAGGAACAATTAATTTAGCACTTCCGAATCCTCTAGCTAGCATAACTTTGTGGATTGCTCTGTACAAATCACACAAGGAAATTTTCTAGTAAATAAAAGAATTCAACTAACTTGTTAACTTTCTTAGATGTAGAGATGCGAGGACAAGCACCACGCTTATGATCTAATTCACCACAAATGAAGCAGCCATCTTTAGGGCCCTTGCAAGAATGGTCTGGAAGAGCACAGTGTTTGCAAATGCTACAGTGGATCCAGGCTGTAAAATAAAAATTAAGTTTTGAAGAGGTTTATTTAACATAATTTTTCATTTGATTAACCTTTATGATAGAGAAGCATGAATATTGTTTACTTCAAATACTGTGAGAGGTTTGCATAGCTGGTTATAATTTGGCTAAAGAGGCCAAAGTTAAGAGGTTGGAATCCCTTGTAAAATAGCTAACTATTTTCTGATACATGGCAACAAATTTAGCCCTTCTCCAATGAGTCATGATCTCAGAGCCACTGATACATTGGGGGCTAGCTAAGTGACACAAAACCAGATTAAAATAAGCCAAACCAAATGCCATACTGACACATGATAGTCATGTCTCTCTGTGAAGGAGAGAATGTACATTTTGGTAATTGCAAAAATTAAAAAGCAAGTAAATTAATGCAAGTCTCTATATTATAATATAGTTTTCTTTTATAAATAGTTAAATAAAAAGCGTATTTAAATGAAAAACACATGTTTTCATAGGGTCTCAAACATCAAGTCTAAATACTTACAAGGCTTTACACACTTTTTGCAGAGAAAGCAATGGTTCCATTTCCTGCCATCCTACAAAAACAATGTTTAAATTATGTTTAATTTGTCATTAAAAATCAAGATCCACAATTAAAAATTAAAATGTCTTATTAAAATCTGTATAAATTATTAATTCCTTATTTCTCACTTTCTTGGGCTTCAAAATTACATACTTTGATTTTAATTTATACATTTCTCCACTCAACTCAGTGCTTCCTTCATGGGGCCAATTTCCTTGACTCTAAAACTGGGGGATTTATCTAAATGATCTTGAAAGTCCACTCCATATCAAGCCACCCAATCTGCATAAAGAAGAGCTCACTAAAAATTTCAAGAGAATTAATGATTCATAATTTTTATGTGTCTAAGCACAATCCTTAATAAAATTCATATTTGAGAACTTTATGTAATTTAGAAAGATAGGGATTATAGGTGACTGGGTAATTTTATAACTGAGAAGTAAAACATGTCCAGTTTAATGAGTATATAAAGTAAACATTTATCAACCTCAACAGGTCAACAAATAGAACACCATCAGCCTCCTAGACACTTTCCCAGGAGCCCCTCCCAAGCCAGTATTCCGCTTTCCGCACTGAGTAACCCCTATTCTGGTTTTTGTGATGGTCACATTCTTGCTTTTATTTATTTTTACCACTATGTGTGTGTTTCTAAGTTTTGTTTTCCTCATTTTGAACTTTTATAATCGGCCTCATGTTTTAAAACGAAAAATACAGAAAATTTCTCAATGAATTGAAAATATATGTAATCAGATGTGTTACTATAATTAAAAACTTGTATAAACTAGTAATAAAATTATAAAGTTATGAAAACTGTACTTTCTAATAGTTATAAAAATACACCCTTCCCTTTGAAGAATATAAACTAAACTTCACATGTTCCTTCTGATTGGATTTAGTTAAAATAACAGAGCAACTTAAAAGTGATCCCACCTTCCTAAAAAGTAAAGAGCGGGTATGTCCTGTGCAGTCCTTCATCTGTAAAAAGCGAGCAGTAACTATACTGTCTGCTAGGACTACTGTGAGCAGTAAATGAATTAGTCCATGGATGGCACTCAGGAAAGGGCCTGGCCCAAAGAAAGAACACAGGACATATTATTATGATTTCCTCAGAAGAGTGATGGTGTCCAATAGTTCGAAGCTTTACTTGACACATCGTAATTCTGCCTTTAACAAAATTCAGTGCCTTATTTGAAACACTAATAATTTACATAATACCATATAAAAGTGAATTCGATTGTTAGTGATGATGAGGCCAACTGTGTTACATGCTGTTGAGTCATCTCCACTCCCGGTGACCCTGTGAGTGAGTGATGTCCACAGTGTCCTGTCCTCAACAGCCCTGCTCAGCCTCTGTGGACTCACGCCTGTGGCTTATTGCATGGAGTCAGTCCATCTCATGTTTGGTCTTCCTGTTTGCCTGCTGCCTTCCATTTTCCCAGCATTATTGTCTTTTCCAAAGAACCCTGCCTTCTCATGATGGGCCCCAAATAGGACAGCTTTAGTTTTGCCTCCAGTGATGTTTCAGGCTTAACTTGCTCTGGGACCCACGTGTTCATCTAAGTATTTTTAAAAGCCTGTTGTACTTTATAAATAGAAATAAACTACTTTATTAAAGTATAATTAGTAAATGATAATGTATTAATACAAGTTATAATATTAACAAAACAACATTAAACAAATGTAATGAAACTCGTAAACTAAAACAAAATTAATTTATTTGAATAAAAATGCATTCTAAAGAAACCTATACCTTGGATGTGCAAGAATTACACTGCTCACAGTGCTGATTCTCTAGAGAAACATATCGCTGACACAGAGGGCAAAATCTGAGGAGGAAAGAGACTTGGAGAAATTAGCTGCATATACTTGAGATTCACAGAGTAGATAAAAGTTTGCAAGGAACTCATTATAAAAATTGGGTGTAATCCAAATTCAATTCAACATAAAATTATGAGCTGAAGCTAAAGTAACAGAACTATATGAGCCAGTATTAAAAGCACTCTAATGTTAGATATATGGAACTTTATTTTCAGTGACTTGTGTATTTCAAGGTCCTGCTGCGATCTTACCTGTACCCTTCTTCAACAGGAAGGATTATTTTGTTGGGTGGAATATTGGTGAAAATACGCACAGGAGACTGTTTTCGACCCGTCTTTCCATGTTTATAAAGTGCATGATTATCATAATCTACCTAGAAAGTTTTGAAAAATTTAAAAAGAAAATTTACTCAAATGAGTCAATATTGGTTAAGGTTCTTTAACCAATAAATGAACAAGTTGATGCAAAGATTCAAGTTAAAGTATTTAATAAATTCTGAAGAGTTTACTTATTAATCAATAGTCTCAGAAAGGCCTCTATGGCAGTAAAATTTCATTTAAAAAATACACAAAAAAACCAGTCAAATTTGTTATGACAAATTCACGTTGCCCAGTATTGAGAACAACTCTATTAACCAATACAATAGACTTAACAAGGCTATCATGTAATTAAGGATTTAGCTTTTGGCATTAAAAAATTCCACCTCTGCAGATATGTGCCAGTGCGGTTGGGGCTTCCCATTTTTTGTGTGTGAAATCCACTACATCTGTTTTCAGCTCACCAAGTCTCAGCATGGCCTTAGCACAGCCCTCCACACTCACTATTTAACAGAGCACAGGCCTGGAGGCCAGACAGGGGTTCTGCCTGCAGCTCACTTGTCATGTGACCTTAAGCCAGATTGCATAATTCTCATCTGGTAATGGAGGTTACTTTACAGTTGTTGGGAAGGTTAAATGAAATAATGTATGTAAAACACTGAGTTCAGGGCCTGGCATATGGTAGAAGACAGACAGAAAGATGGAGATGAAGATAGACATTCATAACTACAGTTCTTCTCCCCACAATGACTACTTCCAACATTTACCTCTTTCCTAAAATCCCTAACTCAACTTCCAGTATCAGCAGATTATCTTGAAACTAAACTGCAGCTAATAAGCATAATTTCTATTAGCTTTGTGCTCCCATCTCCTCCTTCTCCAACCTCTCTACTCTCCACACACATTTTCAACTTTGTTTTAAACCTGTTATGACATCCACAAAGTGGATCAGTAATCCTCAAAGTGCAGTGTGTGGATCAGCAACATCATTACCTGGGATCTTGGTAGAAATGAAAATTCTTGCCCCGCCTGGGACCTAATAAAACAGAAACTCCGGGACTGGAACCCAGCAGTCTGTATTTTCAACAAGCCCTCCTGGCACACTGAAGTTTGAGAACCACTGCTTTAGATGATCCACAAGAATACCATGGGATTTTTAGGAGGTCAGTACAGGGAGATCCCAACTTTCAAATAAGTTGTAATGAATTGTTCAGATTCTAAACAAGAAGACACGTAAGCATTTACAACAGAACTGGCTTGCAAGCTAGCTATTTAATAAGCAAATCACAAAAATGTAAGGAATTGATAACAACGGAAGGAGAGGTCTTTAACAGGAGACTCCTAAGCTCTCTCTGTGGCCCTGCCAATGCCTACTAGATTTACAGGTGAACGACTTTCGTAAGATTGATTAACCAGCTCCAGAAGCGGGGGGGAAAAATGAGTACAGGATGAGGAGACCCAGCTAAACAGCGTGGGGAAAAAAGAAACAGTGTGAAAACAACCCTAGGTGGTGGGGGTCTGTTAACTGTCAGTATGGTGAGACCACAGTCTAGCGTGTGTAAAGCTGGCATGGGCTCACAGCTGGCCTACACAGGAGTGTAACACTATAACAAGAAAAGGATGAGTTAGATCACATTTGAAGCCCCGCGTTCAGTCACTACATTTTAAGAGACATTAATAAAGCCATTGAAAGTAATGGAAATGAATAGGATTTAGAGTTTAACATATTGGTGGTGTTTATTCAGAAAAGAGAAGACTGGGAGGATCTGATAGCTATTTTGTAACTGAAAGGGTGTCATGTGGAATAGAAATTAGACTATATCCTTTATTGCTTCGGAGAACAGAAGTAGCACCAATGGTTAGGAGTTAATAGGGTGCATATTTTATCTCAATATGAGAAAATTTTCTAACGATTAGAGCTATTAAATAAATTGAGTTGCCTTGTAAGGCTGTAGGACTTTGCTCACTGAAAGCATTCAAGTGAGGCTTAGATGACTACTTGTCATGAATTTAGTGGAGGGGATTATTGCATTGGGAAGTTAGCCCACGTTACCTCTATGCTTCTTTCCAACTTTAAAATTCTATGAACATATGTTATCTACCAGAGGCTAAGATACAAAAGTAGATTTTACTTCAAAATCATCTTAAAATAGTACCTTAAGTAGTTTTCTTTTTAAATGATTTAAATTCATATTTTTTTCCTATTGCACTCCTCTATGCACTCAATATACGGCCCCTTATTAAATTCAACAAAGGTATTTTGAACATTTATGAGTGTCGTAAGAAAAAAATTCTTCCCAAGAGACTCTTACGAAGATTTTCAAATGTTGGGAAAGAGTATCTTAGAAAGATCTCTAGCAAATGGAATATTCCATGCAATATAATAGATAGCAGATGGAAGAGAGGGAAAAAAAAGAACAATTTCTTTATGGTTACCCAAGGAGTCAGAGAATGTATGTGTCAGGAAGGTGGTTGATTGCTTGATTTTGCATAACCTAATTGAGATTATTATTATTTTTAAATGCGGGTTTGTTGTGCTAATTAACTATAAACATATGGTATGTAAAATGCATGCTGCTAGAGTAAATTAATGTACCTCTAACATACATCCATATTTCATAGCTTCATCCACACAAATAAACCTCCTATGGAAGCGCTTGTAAAGCAAACACAATTTTGCAAATTGCGTTATCACTAGTGGTAGAACTCATACACCATTTTCCCATCATTATCCCTGACATTTCACTCACAATGATGATGAGAGGCATTTTCAAACAGAAAATTTCTCCCATGGAACTGATTAATGTGATGAAGTACTGTATAGAAATGAGGGAAAGCACAAAATCTCTGCACTTCCTAACTTTTAATTTTATCTCTACGCAAATTTCTTCTGTAACATGAGACTGAAACTAGTTACATGGAAACCAAGACATTCAAGTCAACAAACTGATTTTGTACCTACTATGCTCCAGGCATCATGCCAGGAAACATATTAAATAAAACAGAGTACTTGTAGTTTCATAACTTCCTAAGGATTGTGTTCTATTTAATTTCAGTATATTCAAAAGATTCCAAGTGAACTCTATAGCTCCATCAACCAACTTCTATCACAGCAAGGCCTTTTAGTAATATTTTCCGCATCCTACATAACCTCTTATTTAAAATTTTATATATATATATATTTTTTTTAATAAATATTTACATATACAACTTATATATTTATAAATATATTTATATATATTTATTTATATTTATATATAGCTTTCCTTGTCACTCCAAACCCATTAAATATTTTGTTTATTATATACCGAGTTTTAAGAATGTCAGTTACCATCTTGTAATTTACAATCACATCTCAGAAATTCCTGTCAAAATATCTTCATTTCTGAACATGAAACTAGCCTCAAAAAAGTTTTCTATACAGGATGATTTTTTAAAAGATAGCTTAAAAAATCAAAAAGCAAAGACCTCTACTATGAACAATCCAGACAAATGTCCCAGATTAAGTAGAAACAAGAGATCACAGCACATTTAATATATAAAGTATGTGAGATAATCTAGTTCACATGTGGTAAATACAAGACCTGAATGTCATCACTCCCTGACCCTGGCCCTGTGGCAGACCTCACTAATCAATCCCACTACTCTCTGCCACTGAGCCTGGCAGTCCCAACAAATTCTCCAGAAAGTCACTACCAATTCATCAAGCTTAGAGCTAAAAGTGTAACTTATCTGCCATCCCTCTTCTGGTTCAATCATTTTATTTTATTTTATAGGTAAGGAAACAGAGACCTGGAAAGATAAAGTGACTTCCCCCAAGATTAAATAGCCTCTAAAAGGCAGTGCTGGAACTTGAACTTCTGACTCTAAATCAGAATTTCTTTTCATTAGCACATCCTGCCTTTCTAAACTATCCTTACAAAACTCTTGGTTTTCTAGGTCTTTGATAACTAGTTGATTCTGCACTCATCAAGTTGCTTTATCGCAGAAGAGTCTACATTATTTATATTTTATAAGGATTTGCAGCATTTCTGCCTTCCTCTTTCAAAAAGAGGTTTAGTGATTTTGTTTTTTTTCTGCACTGTGGTTTGGGGGCTTATAATCATCTTGGGCAATGTCAGAGAGAAGGCCTAATCCAGGTCTAAGGGAAAAGTTCTGTGGAGGAGAAGAGACTTTGAAATTTTTATTTGATGAAGGTGGCAAATATAAAATAAAAAATTATCACAAAATGAGGTTAAAGTAATAAAGCAAAGAACGCAAAAGGTTCAGAAATAATCATTATATCCAGGTAAATTTTCAAAAGAAAAGTAGAAAAATCATCAAAAGGGAGGTATAACAAATAAGGTTAATAAATATACTAGGAGATATGATGAAATCAGTTTTTCCAACTGAGTATGTCATGGGTAATAGTACTTTTATCTTTTTTTTACCCCCAAATCAATACGTGACTTTTATTGCATTTTTAAAATATCACAAATAAGTCTGAGGAATCACTTGACATCTTGGCGTTTCTGTAGCTGGACAGCTTAGATCTTACTCATCAGCCCGCTGGAGTGTTCCTTTTTCAGAAACACAGATACCATCCAAAAATTTCCTGATATCCTTGTTTTTAACTGTTGTGACTTTGGAATCAAAGCAGCTGAATTTGGTACAAGTTCAATATCATTTCCTTCAAAAATTAACTCATCTTCCTGGGCTTGAGATACTGAACAAGCAACACCTGACCTCATCTGAACCTTGTGGATGTACTTTTCACCCAAGAAATTTCAGATTTCAACAAGAGAACCATTCTCCTGAATAACGACGTTGATGGGGAAGTGAGACACACAGACCGCATCTTGTAACGGAAGCCCAGTGTAACACCCTTGACCGTGTTCTTTCCATGACTATAGACAGTGTGAACAGCAGCCACTTCCTGTTTCCCCACCATTTATCAACCAGGAGCCTCTTCTTCTTTCCAAGGAGGCCGAGTTCTACACTGATGTGACTGATGTCCCTCCGCACGGTGCAGTAACTGTGCATCCCTTCAGAGTGATGTCCACATTTTCTGGAATGTCCACCGTCTGATTGCTGAGAATCATCTTCATCCTCACGGTGGATGCAGCACAGAGCAGTAGTAGTGTTCTTATCTTTAGCAAGAGTCATGGGAAACAAGTATTTGTTTTGTTTTATAGATTTTATTCAAATTTTTCTTTTCAAAGGTTGGCTTTCTCTGTATTGAAAAGACTGCTTGTCACCCTGTCCAATACACGACCTAATTAGAGCCTTTTCCACCAATGCACTGAATTGCATAATTATTTCCAATAAACTTGGACCTTGGAATTATTTCTCAAAACTAAAACTTCAGTATTTCCAAAAGTTCTTTCCTAGTAACACAGGCTGTCTAAACAAATGATAATTGGTTACTCTACATAAATATTTCTCATCTGCTTTATTCTGCATCTGCCTTCGCCTCACTATTTCGAACTCCTGTCCACAGTGAAAACTCATCTCTAAATGTAGATGGAACAGTTTTCTGAGGGATCTTCTATTTTGCAATTTTAATGTCTCAGATACTGTACAAAAAAGGACCTGAAGAGAGTTATAGCCTCACTTGGAACTATCTGAATGATGACAATACAGTGATGGTTATGACAATGCTGATAGCAGTAACCTTGACTCTGCATGTGCTGTGCGTCAGGACTAAGTCCTTTTTAATGTATTATCTCATATAATTCTTGAAACCTTTGCAGCAGATATGGTATTACTACGCTGATTCAACAGGCAAGATGAGCTTCGGAGAGTTAGATAAAATGTGCCTACCTAGTAAATGGCAGAGCCAGGATTTAAAAAACTCAGTTCCTTTCCAAATCCAGAGTTCATGCTCTCTTTCACTGAATTATTGATTCATCATGTAGAGCACCTACTATGTGCGAAGCATTGTACTAGATAATTTATTACTGTCAAAGGCAGCAGTGCTCCTGGAAACCAGAGCTAGTTTACTTGGGTAACATCTGTAGGGTATGTCAGCTATCTCTGCATTGCAAATGTCAATACAAGAAGCATCCCTCAGATAAGAAACAGAAAAGTTTCCCTGAAAAGGAAAGTAGAAGTTTTGAGAAGAATTATGATGTGGATTTTGTTTAAAGCAGAGCTCAAAAAGTCAAGGTTAAAATGGCTCGTTTTACAAAAAGGAACATATTAATATAGTTCAATAGTCTTAAAAATGTCCATTAAGTTTGGTAATGTAATTTTTAAAATTCTATTTTAGTTTTAGAAATTTATTTTAAGGAAGTTATGTAAGATATGGAAAAAATTATATGAATAAAAGATGTTTATGGCAGGGTTATTTATAGTACCTTAAAGGCGGAAGCAACCTGTAAATCCAAAAAGAAGAGAATAATAACACAGCCAGTTAATGAAATAATTAGGAAGATTAGAATCAAGTGCTAGCTTGGAACAACTAGTGAAGACATTTACAGTTCTAGGGATGAAAAGCCTTAATCAAGAGGCTAGTCAATTACTCAGGAAACTCAAATAGAAAAATATAATTACAAAAGAGGAAGCAGTGCCCACTTGATGGCCACATATGGTAATGGTGACAACAGGGTTAGCTTCAGAACCCAAGCAAATAATGGACAGGAAAGTGGACATAAAAACAGAAGAATGAGTTGAGGGGCAGGATGGAGCCACCGTGGCCGCCAGTGTCTATGCTCACCTACAGCAGGTTCCCAGGACCTTGGGCACAGATGTGAAGGAGGTCTAGACAATTCCCCCCTTAATCAACACACTCGGCAAACAGATCTGAGCACCTCTGCCTTTCCGATGCCCCACGACCTTAGGCACAACTCTCCTTAGAGCTACAGGCTCCTCTGAGTTGCACAATACAGTGTACATGGCATTCCACCAGCCAGAAAAAGTGACTGACTTCTCCACAGCCTCTGAACAGAGAAAACCCACCTGTATAATGATCCCGGGTGCTGTGAAATCTTCTGGTGATGACAAAAGGTGAGTTTAGTTGGTCTAACACCCAGCTGCATTTCAGAATCGCCTGGGGCGCCTGGTAAAATATGTTTTCTTGGGGCTTTACCCTCTGATTTTGATTTAGTTGGCTTATTTTGGTACCTAAGAATCTATATTTTTAATAAGCACTTTAGGGATTAGAGACATTTAGGTACCACTCTACTAAGCTACGTATGGTATAATTTTAGTGTTTAATACAGCTTGTAGTCTTTTCATTTACTAAAATCAATGCAGTCTTATCAGAATATTTATTTAAGCTAGATATCCATTCTCCACCAAGCCAGAAGACAGAATAGTTACTATACCTGATAATCCAGCATGCAGAAACTTGGAAAAAACTGACAAATTCGGGATTCAAAAAAATAGGGGAAAATCCAGAAAATGGGTAGTTCTTTGTTATCTAGTGGATCACAAAAAAAGGGGCAAAGAAAATAAGAAATTGATATTAAAGAGAAAAGTAAAACAGCTATAACTGGAAAACTTCTAGTATCAAGAGAAACTACAATCGTTCAATACATTTAAATCACACAGAAGGAAAGAATGTTTACCAGCATGCCACTTACATCCTAACCTTTCCCAAAGGCCATGAAAATGTTCTTTTATTTCCAAACACAGCTACAAAGATATGAAAAGTCATCCTTACATGCATATTACTATAGTATATGTAAAGGCAAGGTATTACCAAAAAAGTGGGAAATAAAATTAATTTTTACGAGAACAGGGAACGGAGCTGTTATTTACAGAGCACCTAGTATAGGCTGAACACAATGCTAGATACTTTCCTCTCCTTCTAATAACCTCTAGAGTTAGATATTAATAACCCCATTTTACAGAAGGGAAAACTGAAGCTGCAAGATTTAAATAACTGGTTCAAGTTCATGCAGCTAATAAGTGGCAGAACCAGAATTCAAGCCTACAAAGCTCTTTATTGCTTCCCCAATAACATATACTTTTATCTACTCTGATAAGCAGCTTAAGAACCAAAAATAAGTGGAATACTGAACACTATGAGTCATGTTGTAGATTGCGTTTGCATTCTGTCCTGGAGCACACTATTTATGTAACACTATTAATGGAGAAGCTTGATCACAAATTCCTGACATTCTTACAATTTATCAACTTGCAAGTTGGAAACTAAAATAATTACTGTACAGACTAATAAGATAATTATGTGAAATACTTTGAAGGCCTAAGCCACTTTAAATCGAACAATAACCCTCAGCCATTAGCCCACATCCAGGACCAGGTATCTGTGTGTCACTGATAACCACTGTTAGGCTACTGAATGTCTTGATTTTCCCACCCAAATTTTGGTGCAGTTTAGAGCTCTGGGCCAGAGGCTGGGTGCCCTCTTAGAGTTTGGGTAAGACTTTAGGAACAGGGAATGTATGGCCCATGAGGGCAGAGATATGTGTCTGTCTTATTTACTACTCTATTCCCAGCACCTAAACAGCACCTGGTACCTAGTGGCCATTCAGTAAATATTGGTTGAATAAATGACATGAAGAATGCTATTCTTCATAATGTCCCTTTATGCTGCCAAAAAAATATATTTTACCTATAAGTCATTTTAAAAACACATGACTAGGATAATACAAAATGCATCATAATGATAAAGTCTGCCACATTATCAAATAAGCCCGTTTTTTTAAAAAGACAAGAACCCAAGGCATGTATATTTCATCAGTGCTCTGATTCACGGAGATCTGCTAAGATTTGACAGGAAGTAGATACATAAATACATGTTTATTTTGCAGTAAGTAATAAATTACACACCTTGGCTTTGACCTTCTTTCCACATAGCAATTAACTTCTTGAATGTAACAGCCAGAGGTTCAACCAGGCCACCGAAAGGAGGATCTGTCACCATAATGACTCCTTCACCTTTATCTTCCTGTAAAAACGTTCTGCATACTTCAAGGGCAGCCTGAAACAAATACAAATTCATTTCTAAGTCAGGACTAGAGGGAGGCATTGTGTCTGACCTGGAAGAGAACGCAGTAGGCTCAGCGTCACCCTTCACACGGAAAACTCCACCCATCCTGCCACCCCTGGGTCCCTCACTGACAACCTGAAGCCTCGCTTGTTCCGCCGCCATAAGATTTTATCTTTGGGTTGCTTGATAAGCAGGTTTTTCAAATTGCAAATTCAAATACCATCACTATCAGAGGATTACACATTTCAAATGGTTAAATTAAAAAAACTAATTTTAGTCATGTAAAAGAGAGAAACTCATTACCCATGAAGACTATCTAAAAATGCGATACTCAATTCACCAAACAGAAGCAGGGACTGCAGACACAAAGGGGAAGAAGACGTACTTTTTTCCCTGTCCGGTTTGTCCACTGCCATGAGTTCAGTTTAATAAGAGCTACAAAAGACCAGTTAAACATGCACGTGTTTTTGAGTCCCAGGTAAATGACAGGCATATTTGAACTTGCAGATCAGTAAATACATGAAAGTTCACAAATAACAAAGCTTATCCAGGCCATGAAACCATGCTATTAACATATTTTCCCAACAACCTGGATGAAGTGTTTTTAGGAATGACAAAGTGAACGTTAACCACTGTCTAGGACATCTACCATTTTTTGCTTTGAGATAACTTAATAAGAGATACATTAATACTAATTCCAGTCAACTGACGTTGTAGTAGTTTTCAAGTATGTATTTACCTTTAAAAGCAAGTCAACATTTATAAAAGATGGCATAAGATTTTAAAGTTTAATGGTATTTTAAACTTATATGTACTTGATAATAAAATATGCATTGTGCTACTGCTAAATCAATTTAGTAGGCCCAGTTGATGAGAGGAAAAGCACATCATCTCATCCCTTTTCCCTGGGAGAGTTTTTATTAACTTCCTACTGGAAGTCCTACAGCAAAGGAGAGTATGTTAAGAAGGTGAATCATTTTTCAAGTGCTGCCTGGTACTTTGTTAACCTGCCTACACGAACCGGGACCTGAAGTACAGATGATGTTATTGAAAAACCTTCAAATTCCTTAGAGCGAGAAGCTGGAGAAAATAAAATAAACAAGTAAACTGCGCCTAACCTCTCAACCAAATTTAGAAAACATTAAAGAATATCTTTCCAGTTAAGAATCAGTGGCATCATGTCCCATCAGGAGTTGCCGAGGGTCCTAAAGTTGACCACCTATGGGAACAAATGATTGCCTACTGCCACCAATGTTGAAAGTAACTTACCTCTTTTCTGCATCTCAGTTATCAATGCTTGGCATTTTAAATAGCCACCCTCTATACATATTTTAACCCCCTTTACTATTAAGGCATATGACATTTTTGTTATCTGAAAAACTATTACTTGCTTAAGAAAAAAATCCTGTGTTGGAAACTGCTGCCTTTTAATCCAGACTGTAAAGCGCTTATGTGCAGTGACAGAGGCTTATAACCTCAAAGCACCCTGCACACCTTCACAGGTGCCTAGGGGACACTTACATACATGGTCATTGACTAGTAGATGGTCACCTCTACGGAAAACCTTCACTCGGGATGTAGGTAGAAAACAGAGCAGAGAGTAAAACGATTAAAACAATAGTTTTCTGTAGCTCAGTCTGGACAGTTGCAGTGCTGTTTAGAGGCTGCTCCTAAAATACAGAGAGGGAAACCTGAGCTGGACGACTGCTTTCTGCTGGGAAAGATAAACTGGAGCTCAGTCTTGGCAGCTTATTCTGACCATTAGTCTAGAAACTCCTAAGGTAGTTCTATAAACTTTCAATGAAAGTTACACAGAATTTCCTAGAAAAAAGCTAACTGCATGTTACTTTCTTAAAATACATGAAATTGCCAACCAACTATTAGGTATTTAAATTTTGCACTTATCATTATCATTCAAAATAAAAAGCCAAATTATGGTATGGTATTAAAAACAACTAACCCCTGACCCACTACTGCAGCGTCAAGCAGTAATATAAACTCAGTTACTTTTTCATCTGTCATCAGCCTTGACCGCAATCCCTGAGCTCAAGGCCGCAGATTCAAGAGGCCACACTAGACACTTCTACATCCATATTCCACCAGCTCCACAAACTCAACATGTCCGAGCCTCACTTTCCAACTGTCCTACTCTGTTTTGAAGAGGGAAATACAGACCAAGGTCATACCACCAAGTCATCTTTGACTTCTCCCCCAGTACACTTATGACCAAGTCCTTTTTTTCTTTTAACTAATTGAGGTACAATTTTTTAAATTTGGGTGTATAACACAATGGTTACACCACATCTTCTTGTTTCATCTGTGAAATGCCTACAGAATCCACTTCTTTCCTCTTTTTCCCGCTGCCGCTGTCCTAGTTGAGAAGTCCCTCATCAATTGTCAAGTGATTTTTCAATCCCTCTCTCCTTCACGCTAATCTAATCAGTTCTCAAATCCTAGTGATTATCAACCACTAAGCCCTTTGGGCAACAGTGAAACACATCTAATTCTGTTATTTACTTCAATGCTTGCTTCTCATGGCTATCACAGCTGAAAAATATATATCCCAACGCTAAATTGATTCTGATGGAAGGAATACATCACTGGCTGTATTTGCTAAATCAGGAGACTTATTTTTCAATCCCAACCAACAACTGAGAATTTGTTTTCATTTCCTAAGAGCTTATTAGTTTTTTAGTCTTGCTTGGTTTTCATCCGATCACTAGCTAGTATCTTAAAGTACGATATATAATTAAGCATGGTTCACAATTTTTAAAAAATTGATATAGAGACTTATATGTATGGATATGCTTCAAATAGCCTTGATAATTTCAAAACATTTTTAAATTCAAAATCTCCTGTTGGGTGTGATTACTTGGTTGGTTACAGCTTTTATTCTATAATAGGACTGACAAAGAGCTCAAAGCAGGAGTAGAAGTATCAGCTCTGCTCTAGTGTTTATTTACAGTGACACTATTAACAGCATATTGAAAGAAGGTTTTTTTTGTTTTTGTGTTTTGAAGCCACTATCCTTTTTTAAAAGACTCTTCTTTCAGAGTAGTTTTGGGTTCACAGCAAAATTGAGAAGAAGGTACAGAAATATCCCACATGACCCCTGCCCCCACACATGCATTGTGTCCCCCTATTATCAACATTCTCCACCAGTGGGGTACATTTGTTATAATTAATGAACCTACATTGACACATCATTATCACCTAGAATTCACAGTTTACATTAGGATTTACTCTTGACACGATTTCTTAAGGATTAGTTTAATAAAACCATAAATCCCCTTAACTGGGACTTGAAATTTATCAGGGAGGCTGATACCAAACAACTGACCACAGAGTTATTTAATTACAGTATCGTAAATACAAAAGAGAACCTGACCTTGTCTGAGGCTCAGGGGAGACTGGAGGAAGTGACTTGGAACAGAGCTCGGAAGGAGGCAGTCAACTTCACAAGGCAAAGAGAGAGTAGAAGGCAGAGGGAACAGCATGGGTAAAGCCCGTGTTGCGGAAAGGCCAGTTGGAGAACAAACAGCAAAGCAGGGACAGGCTGGCGAGCGGCAAGAGGTCACAGGAGATACACGGGGCTTGGTGAGAAAGTGGGTCTTTATCCAAAAGCAATGAAAAGTCACGAAAGAAGAAATAACCTGATCACTTCTAGATGCTCAATGCACATGCAATGAATGAACAAAAATAAGTATCGATAAATGGGGGAACAGCCACAATTTGATCTTGAGAGACTTTAGGAAAAGAACAAAGAAGGTACTCTTGAAATTTGTTCTTCCACAATAAGAGAAAATGGTCATAATTCTTACCTCTCCATCAAAGAAGTGATGATTAAACATGTTATAATGGCAAAAGCTATCTTCCATATAAAACTGTGAATACCTGTAAAATAATTTATTACTGAAGTTACTTGTCCAATCAGAGCTGTACAGTAAGTAAAATATAAACTAAAATTTAAAACTATGAAATCATGCCTTTAACAAAATCAATTTCATGATTCTTTAGTTTTCTGAACTAAAATATTTTCCCCAAATCTCAGACTCAGTAACAGTGGGTGATGAATAATGAACTTAAATTATGTTCCCAAGTTTAATAAATCAGTGGCAAAACTACATACGTAAAATACACACGTTCTTATGGACGAGAAGAGTATACATAAACAAACAATCAGGTTACTGATACATTATTATGCAGTTTAAAGTTGAGATGGGTTGGCAATTAAAATACATCTCTCATAGTTAATCATTTTATGCAAAATACTGAGTGAACATTTCTGCTCAACAGCTGTTAATTATTATTTTCTGTGGTTAACCAAAAAAATTATTTGATACAGATTTTCTTGTCTATTTCAGATTAGCTTTTTAAAATATGCTTCTCAATATATAAAAAAAGAAGTATGTGCATTTCATATTTACTAAATTAGTGCCAGAAAAGAGGGGATATTTATTTACTGATTGAATCATTTTATTTTTCTAACATACTACTCTATTTAAAAAACTTTTTAAAATTTATTTTTATTAAAAAGAATTTTTTAAAATTAATTTTTCAATTATAGTTGACAAACAATATAGTAGTTTCAGGTACAGTAACATACTATTTAATATGCCATCAGCCATGAAGAGATAGTACTGGCCTTGGGTATTAACATTTTATAAATTTTTGCTAATTTACTAGGTAAAATTCATACTATGTTATGGTTCAAATTTGCATTTATTTGATTTCTTACAATGAGAGTTCATTATTCTTTTTAAATTTATTTGTACTGTCTGTTCTATGTTTTCTCCATTAATGTACATGGGTCTTAATGTCTTTCCGGCTGATTTCTGAGTGTTTCATATAGTACAGAAACCTCTTTTTTATCTCAATAGGATTTTGAACTTTGACAATTTTGTTATAAACAATTCACATATGAGTCACATCACCCTTCTATGGAATTCATACCCTAGTGGAAAGACGGAAAAAAAATCAGGGACACATCCTTACTTATACGACTTCTCTAACCAGATCATGATAGCAGCACTTCTTTGGGTCTACTTCTCACTTATCCATTACTGTCCATAACTGATTCACCATCCAGGTTGAGAACTATAATGGAAAACCATGGTTTATCTTCTTCCTATTACACTGTGGTTAAGACTACAGGCTCTACAGTCAGATGGTCTGGTTTCAAACTCTGAGTCTTTCGCTTACCAGCTGTGAAATCTTAGTAAGTTATTTAACCTATCTGAGCCCATTTCTTCATCTATAAAATAAGAAACAGTAGTTTCTACATCATAGGACTTGGTAAGAATAAATACCGTAGATCATGAATGTAAAATGCTTAATGCAATACCAGCTACATAGCATATACTGAAATGTTTGGTATCATTATTTTAATAAATACCAGCTACAAAGATTTATGTCTTAATGGCCCCAATACTGGGAATTATGTTTATGTCCAACCAAATTTCCCCCCCTATAATCTAAACCCATTTCTTCTTGTTCTGTGAAGACAGAAGAGTAGCTGTTCACCATTCTCACTATAATACCCCTTAATATTATTTAAGACAGTGTTAGTACATCTGCTGAGTTCATAAAACATAAATTTACATTGAAGAAAAAAAAAGGTTTGGATAACTGAAAAATATTTAAACAATATACTGTAACTTAATGAACATTCCGAAAACTGGGACAAGGTCAATTACCATTAATAAATGAATGTCTTCCTACTTTAACTAAATTCCAAGCAGCTGATTTTATATATATATATATATATCAGTTATTTAATTTATATATATATCAGTTATTTAACTTACATATATATCAATACTAGTATAGCTGTGAGTCAGCTATCATGTAAGGGTTTTCTTCTCTCTTGCATTGCTTTGTGTAAGGAAAAAAAACCAAAAAATACAGTACCTTTTAAAATATATTTCTACCATCCCTCTATTTTCTTTACTGCTTCACAACCACAATAGTCATTTTTAAATGTTAAAAAAGAAAATTTTATTTACATAAATTTCAACACAGCACAGTAATCCAAAACTTTCTGAGCAGTAGTGGGCAGAGCCGGGGAGAGAAAAAAGCCTCAATTTTAGCTCTAGGTTTCCATCAAATACAAACAAGGGAGCACAATTACTCATATTTTAAATTATGAAAAATCACTCAACATTACCCTTAAAATGAAACTGGCCACAAAGAATTATTCTCTCCATTGAATAAGGCAAACAAAACTAATCAGAAATGCATGCACTTGAAAACTGCTCAAAAGGACATTCATTTAATTTGGCCATTCATTCTCTTTAAATGAGTCAGTTACCAAGTGTGAAACATGCTCTATACACAGGAAATGTAATCAAGAGCTGAATAAAATCAGTTCATGAAGTGAACCCAAGAAATTCATTTTTTTGATATAACTTTATTTGGATGACAGTTTGCAAATAGTTTCACATCTTTCATGCTAAAATTAGAGCATATATAAATCCATCTTAGCAAATGTTAACTTCATATCTTAGACGTCCACCCACCCCCCCCCAAAAAAAATTATTTATAGCACATATACATTGAATACTGGAGTTGAGGCCGTTCTCTGCAGCCTTGGACAGGCCTTTTTTTTAAAGATTTTTATTGGGGTATTGGGGGGAAGGGAACAGTGCTGGGGAATTGGGGGAAGGGGAACAGACAAGTTACTGTCGTTTTTTGTTCTTTAGTCTAGTTGTGGAGGACGCTGCTTCACTGGCCCAAGTTGGCACCATCATTGCACTCTTCCCAGGAGAGGCAGATCAGTCGCCGGCTTCTGGACGGCCACTCACCGCGGCTGCTGGCCGCTCACGCTGGCTGCTGGCTACACACGGTAGCCCATGGCAACCCACTGCANTGAAAACAGGGATTCAAACAGATATTTATACACTGATGTGTACTGTAGCACTATTTACAATAATAGTCAAAAGGTAGAAACATCCAATATCCATTGATGGATGAACAGATAAACAAAATGTAGTGTATATATACAATGGAATATTGTATTGCAGCCATATAAGGAATAAAATTCTAAAATATGCTGCAACATGGATAAGCCTTGAAAACATTATGGTAGATGAAATAAGCCAGACATAAAAGGACAAATATCGATGATTCCATTCATCTGAGGTACCTAGCATAGTCAAATTCATGGAGACAAAAGTCGATTACAGGTTACCAGGGACTGGGGGGAGGTGGAACAGGGAGTTATTGCTTAATGGTGACAGAGTTTCTATTTGGAGTGATGAAAAGTTTTGGAAATAGTGGTGATGGTTGCACAACTTTGTAAATGTAATTAACGCTACTGAGTTGGTAAATTTTATGTTACATCTACATTTACCACGATACAAATAAATTAATTAAAGTACACTTCAAGGCACGGGGGAAAAAAACAACAGGATAATAAATAAAATTGACATCACATCAGTACCTTTCCACACACTGCACTCGGGAAACAGGAGGCTGACATCTTCGGTTAAGAGCTTCTCGGGCAGCAAGTCTAGCTTCTGACAACTGAAAGAGAGTACAAAATCCACTTAAAAAGTCATCAAACTTGCTACCACCCTAGAAAAACTGGTATCACATTCTGACATCAAGAAGTTAGAAATTCAAGCAGCTCCAAGTTATAAACAAGCACTCATTTCAGGGGGAAAAAAAAATCCCAAAGCACATTAAACTGGGAACATCCAGGAGTAGTAACCAACATATTAAAGCACTGAGAGATTAACTAACGTTTGATCTTAGGTTCTGCAAAAAAGCGGTATACAGGACTGTTTTCTACTAAAACTAACAGCTGAAAACGTTCTAGTCAAACTTTCAGAAACTTTAATTGGAGCTGTGTCCAAGAGGATACCCAGCTCATAAGTATATCTCTAAGTGCCTTCATCAGTCACCCAGTAGCTTAATAAATGATATTCAATGAAAATGTTCTCAAAAAAGTGTTTTTGTAAAATACTTGCTGGTATGATCATGACCTTGACTCTTTNGAGGGCAGTGTCACTGGCCCTCATATGTGGGATCCAAACCGGGGCCCTCTGGCGTCCCAAGCCAGTTCTTAACCATCACACCACTCGGCCGGCCCTTAAAAGCTACACTTCTTATTGTGACTTTTTACACTCAAAAAAATCTGTCTGCCTTGTTTTTAGTGAGAAAAAGCATATGAAATTTCATAGATTGTTTCCAACAAATACTGGAATATTGACCAAATAGACTCTAACAGATTAAATAAAAAGAAACACAAAGCCTGATTCCTTCAATACACTCAAGAACAAGTAAAAGATACTAAGAACACAGTGTCTTATAGACTCACTGTGAACTCCTGGAATTCAAATAATTATTGAAACTAGGAAGAGTACTTCAAATTTACAGAATCACAGAAACTGTGGAAGGACATATTTACCATCTAGGGTTATAAATAAAGCCTGTATCTTCTAAATTACCACCAGAGGAGAGATTCAAGGTACGTCCTCTTTCTGTCTTATTTCCGTTTGTCTGAACATATCAGACGCCATTTGATTTTGAAGCTCTCCCACAAGCTTATCTGTTTGCTAATCCTCTACCCTGGGGCCTGTCTATTTCCTAGTTAGCACTCCCGTCACTTCAGGCTTTGTCCAGTGAAAGACAATATGAACATCATCTGGTAAAAATATTAAAATAAATGTCTTATCGCACTTAAAACATCATGATGAAAGTTCAGAACTATCTTTGAAAACAAGTATATGAGGAGAAGTTTCACTCAATAGGTATTGACCTCTAAATTACAAACTACAGACAACTAGACACATTCATAAAGAAAATTTAGGAAGCACACTAATAAAAAAGAGACAAGTACTGCCTCTGTTTGAAATATGGAAGATTACATGTGGAGTTTATATGACTAAAAAAGGCCTTATAACCAATTATGAATTCTAAATGTTAATTAGGATTATAACAGATAATAAAAAATTAAGAAGAGGAAAACATTAAAAAGAAACAGGAGACAAGGAAGGAGAATAAATATACTTTGTAAACCTACCGAAAATCAATATCCAATAAAAGGCTTTTAATGTTAGACTCCTTGTCACCTGATGCTTTCAACCTGATCAGCTCATGCAACCTAAAGAGATTAGTGAAAGCAAATTTCATAAGAAATTACAAATGCCATAAATAACAAGCAACTAAACAAAAAAACCCCATCAATGTTCTCCCGATATTTCTAACATTTCAATGCAACAGTGAAGAGAATCTGGCAGATATAACCAGTTTCAGTTTTGCAAATATTTTTTAAAAGGCAGAACTTAGCTGAAACAGAGACATATACAAGTATAAAGAATTTATGAATCAAATCAGAAAGAATCCCTATCATATATCTGAAATCTATAAAGATTTCTCCCGAATGGAATATAGATTGCAAACTCCTTCAGAGGGACCATGTTTTCTCCTTCCTTGTATACGCAAAGCTTAATGCTATATCCTGGAACTTGATAACATTTTCTTACAGTTTAGATGGTGGTGCTAGGAGAAGTTCTGAAAAAAATCATGGAACATACCTTGGTGTTCCGATGCATAGCACTCTTTTGAACCCCAGTGTAGAAAGGAGGTCTATCAAGAACTGACAGCTCCTATCAGCAAACAAATACTGCGCATTTGTCTTCTTGTTTTCCAGCGGATAAAGGAGCTGACTGGGCCTTTTTAACTGGGCGACAGAAATGTCACCCATTACTGGATGCTCGTGATGCTTCTCCCAGTCATCTGGCAACAGCAACTGCTGACATCTTTGACAAAACTTCCTCTGGGACAATGGCAGCTCAATGAACTTCAAGTACCTTCAAGATACAACAAAACACAAAGGAATACATTTTAAGTTGGTTGTTTTAAAGATCATTTATTTTTGCTATTTTTAGTATGCAAGAAGTATTATTACTTCCTAAAGAATAAAGAGCACTGCATAAAGAAGCAAAGGTAAGAAAAATCTGCGCAGTGTTGGCTAGAATTTATGTCTGGCTACATGTCTACAAAGTGGAAGAGAATCAGCAATTCCATAAGAATTGAGATGCTCTAATTCAGTCACTGAATGAAGATCAATATCCATTTAAAATGTGAATATAATATATTACTCAAACAACTTAGTAGTAATGGAGACGACTATCACGTTCAAATTTATTGACAAATCCATGTGTTCTAACTTTGAAGTGTTAAACAGTCTGGCTCAGTATGACAGTCATTTTAAAATGAGAAATTAAGATCATTCTTCAAGTTCTATGGCATACTTAGCCAGAAAAATTACCTCCTAAAAGAAAAAAACATTCCTACAAAGTTCCTCTATTCTTAGCAGTACTGACGGAGGTTCTGAGAAACTCATCCCCAAAACAGCAAGATGATATTCAAAGCCGTTAAAACAAACAAACAAACAAACAAACAAAAAACAATCCTGGATATCCCATTTGATCTCTTTCAAGTCATCCTCACGTCTGATTGCAATGTCACCACTTTGGGTTTTTTCCTTCTTTTTTTCATTTTATTAGAGACGATTAAAGAGAGAAAATAATCACGGTTAGTATGTTTTAAAAACTGCTGATTTTGTGTACGCTATACCAGCTATAAAATCAGAGTAAGAAAACAAAAGAAAAATAAATAAGATTACCGAGCATATAGATGTCTAAATCTAAGCACCTCAAATAGTACACTAACGGATTCTTATAGCTTGAGAAGAGTCATATGGTTTCAATTGAACTAAACTCTGAAACTGTACTGCAAAAGACTGTGAACTTAATGTAGAATCAAAGGGGGTTTTAAAACTTTTTATTTCTAAGCACAGTTTGACTTCAAAGCACCCAGGGCAGTGACAAATAGATACTCTGGATGGCTACAGTAAGAAATGAGCTTATCGTGCCAGAAATTTAAGTGTTTCTATTCCTATGATAACTGTTCTTTTGACAGCTTTATCTACGACTGGAAAGAAAAAGGAGAGCGATATTAGAAGCAACTTTTACAGTAATTCAAAGTAAGAATGTCAGTAAAGAGCCCCTAAAACATGAAATTCAAGTGGAAGAACCAGTACACTCTAGAAATACTAAATTTACTACAGTTACCTTTCCTTATTACATGTTAAGTGTCTAAGACTTCCACATCTGGCCATGATAGAGTAACACAGACCAGATTTACCATCCTGGCCCTCAAAACATTTTTTAGACAGAAAACATATGAAACCACAGTTTTGAGACACTGGATAATTGGCAGCCCAAACAGTGAACAGTAAGAGAAGGGAACAAATGAGTGAGTGGTACAGCTGCCCAGTTTATAGCAGTCCTCCCCTATCTGTGGGGGATACGTTCCAAGACCCCCAGTGGATGCCTGCCTGAAACTGTGGATAGTATCGAACCCTACATACATATATTCTGTGTTTTTTCCTATACATACATACTTATGATAAAGTTTACTTTCCAAATTAGGCACAGTAAGAGATTAACAACACTAGCTGAAATAAAATAGAATTATAACAATATAGTATAATAAGTCATAAGAATGTGGTCTCTTTCTCTTTAGTAATGTTTGTATTTTTCAGTCCAATCCTATTCCTCAATCTGGCTAGAATCCCCAGTCAGTGTTGAATAGAAGCCGTAAAAGCAGACATCCTCGCTGTGTCCCAGTCTTAGGAGACGTGCATTTAGTCTTGTATCAGCACAGTGCTAGGTAGAGGTTTTTCTTAGATGCCCTTTCTCAGGTTATGGAAGTTCCCACCAATTCCTAGTTTCCTGAGGATCTTTATCATGAGTGAATATTTGATTTTGGACTTGGAAGAACTCAGGTTACATAGTTATATAACCTGGGTCCTTAGTGAGGAACCTGTTGGGCAGCTGGGTGTCAGATGGGAAGGGCAGTGGTCCAGACTGGAGCCTTTCTAAAAGCCCTAGGGCAGATTTGTCTAAGGAGGTTATGCTACATCTGAATGTTCTGAAAGGGTTCAGAAAATAAGCAGAGCCTGCAGCTGAATCTGTGATTAGCACATAAATAACTAATAGCAACTACAACAAAAAACTCCAAGACTGTCATTAACTCCAAGGAAAACAAAAAGCTGCGTAGGAAAGAACTTATTGTGATTTATTTCATGGTTCAGCGACAAGCAACATTTATATGGTTACAATATTGCAAATGCTAAATTTTGAATCTAACCAAAATCATGATATAAACATATAAAAATGGGGTATGAATAGGGTACAGATTATAGCTGGGGGGAGCGGGGATGTAGAGGGGAGAGCAGAGAGAGGAGGAAAAGATAAATCCTCATCTCCCATATGAAATAAACAGACAATTCCAAAAGTTGATAAATCAAGAAGTAGGAAGACATGCATGTTTTGTATTGCACAGATAGGAAGGTAAATTCTGAAAGAACTGGCCAGAAGAGCTGACTGGGGTTGCTTCCAGAGCGCTGAACATGCAGGTGGGGACAGGTGCTGTAAAATCTCACAGAACTATTTGATTCTATTGCTACATACAGATTTCTTTCTTTCTTTCTTTCTTTTTTTTTTTTTAAGATTTTTTTTTTATTGGGGAATTGGAACAGCGCTGGGGAATCGGGGAAGGGGAACAGACAAGTTGCTGTCCTTTTGTTCTTCAGTCTAGTTGTGGAGGACGTTGCTTCATTGGCCCAAGCTGGCACCACCATTGCGCTCTTCCCGGGCGAGGCAGATCAGTCGCCCGCTTCTGGACGGCTGCCTACAGCAACTGCTGGCCACTCACGCTGGCTGCTGGCGACTCAAGGCAGCCCAGCTCCAGGTTGAGCTGTTGTTCAGCATCTTAGCTGTGGAGGGCAGTGTCACTGGCCCTCATATGTGGGATCCAAACTGGGGCCCTCTGGCGTTGCAAGCCAGCTCTTAACCAACACTCCACTCGGCCGGCCCCAGATTTCTTTACTGACATTTAATTCACATACCACACAATCACCCTTATAAAGTATATGACTCAGTGGTTTTTAGAATATTCACGAAGTTGTGGAACCATCGCCACAATATAATTCCAGGATATTTTCATCACCTCAGAAAGAAACCTTGTACCCGTTAGCACTTGCTCCCCAAGTCCCCCCACCCCAGCCTCTTAAAACTACTAATATTCTTTCTATCTCTAGAGATTTGCCCACTCTGGAAAGCTCATATAAATGAAATCGTATAAGTTTTAATTTAAAAATTTTTATTAATAAAAGATTAAAAAAACAAACAAGCTGCTAAAGGATGAATTTCAGCCCAATAGATGAATGCAGAGACTACAGCCAAGGGGCTGTCAGTGAGTACTGAATCCATTTAACCACAGAATAAAAACAAAAACAAATACGGGTATAATTACAGCACGAAATATACATAACATATATTTAAACAAAAGTTTAAGCCAATGAAGCAACGTCCTCCACAACTAGACTGAAGAACAAAAGGACAGCAACTTGTCTGTTCCCCTTCCCCGATTCCCCAGTGCTGTTCCAATTCCCCAATAAAAATCTTAAAAAAAAAAAAAGAAAGAAAGAAAGAAAGAAATCTGTATGTAGCAATAGAATCAAATAGTTCTGTGAGATTTTACAGCACCTGTCCCCACCTGCATTTTCAGCGCTCTGGAAGCAACCCCAGTCAGCTCTTCTGGCCAGTTCTTTCAGAATTTACCTTCCTATCTGAGAAAGTGGCAGGTAGAGTAAGTATACCAATTTTCTTATGTTTTAGCCATAGGCCAAAAGATATAATTTAAAACTGAAAAATTAGGGGCTGGCCGAGTGGCTCAGTTGGTTAAGAGCATGAGCTCTGAGCAACAGGGTCGCCGGTATGATTCCCACATGGGCTAGTGAGCTACACTTGAGCTGAGCTGCTGCTGAGCTGCCAACAGGTAGCAGGACGGCTCAGCTGGTGAGAGCATGTGCTTTTAGGAACAAGGTTTCTGGTTCGATTCCCACATGGGATGGTGGGCTTTGCCTACCCGCAACTAAGATTGAACACGGCACCTTGAGCTGAGTGGCCACGAGTTGACAACGGGTGGCTGGATGACGGCTGGACTTGGAGCTGAGCTAGCTGCGCCCTCCACAACTAAAGACTGAAGGACAACAACTTGGATGTTCCCCTTCCCCAATTCCCCAATAAAATCTTAAAAAATAAAAATAAAGTAAAAGGGTTATAAGCAATATTCAAAGCTATAAAGGTTAAACCTAAAAAGAAATAATCATCTAAAACCGGACAGTGATTGTAGAGAAAGAAAGAGATAGGAAGAAATATACAAGGTTCATTATTTCTCATTTTTAGATGGATGAAGACTATCTAAAAACTAAAAGGATTAAATATGGTATAGAAAGTTACAAAGGCAACCATTACAACAAAAATATAGAAGAAATGTACTTTAAAACAGGAAAAGCAAAGAAAATGCAGACCATATAGTAAAAGTGAAAAGAAGCAATAAAAACAGAAAGTATAAAATAATACAGCAAAACTAAGATCAAGCATATCTGTTAGACCCACTATGAAAATGGGCTAAATCCACCCATTAAAAGAAAGCCTGTTGGATTGCATCACAAAGCAAAATCCAACCATCCTATTTCATCACTTCTAAGAAGCATATTTTTTCACATTTTAGCATCAGTGATATTGAGATATGATTTATCATTGCCGTCAGCCAGACGGAGATCATGACATCATGGGGACTGTCACCCATGTGCAAACTTGGTCCCAGCTCTTTGGGCTGCATCTCTTCGATGCAGTGCTGTGCACAGTTGGAGCTACAGGTGGAGTGTCATGGTCATCATCCTATGATTCAGTCCCAAAAAACAAAGTCATTGTGCATGCAGTCAGGCACCCAAACAGAGCGACAATGCATACATTTGATATGAGAGAAGTAAATACTCATTGAAAGACAACAACAATCAAAGGCTTTACGGGAAAAAGGAGAAAGAAGATTGCCAAAATGATGAAGTTGTTCAGTTTCTGTGTCAGGTTCAACTAAAGGCAAGAGAAGCTGCAAAATCACCAGGAAGAGATGAAATAAAGTTCAAGGCAATGAGGGGCTCGTGGGACAATTCACTCACTACACAGGACTATCTTGTGGCACTTAAGGTACTAAGTTCAACTACTCTTCAAAGAACACTGTTAAATGAACCTCCACTTATCGTATATCTTTGTGCTTTGTCAAAATTGTTCTTCAGAAAGCTTTACTGCTTACCAACTTTCTCTTGACAAAAGATAAACTGAGATTTTGTGCATATTTCTCTCTATTCCAAATCACATCATAATCATTCAATCATACTTCTTTGAATTTAACATTCAGACACAAGGTTTTTTGAACGTTTGGCAGCAAGAACAAGAGACTCTAAAGAGCTAAGGATTACTCAGTGCCCCCTCCTTGTTTGTACTTACTCCACACACCCCAGGGGGAAAAGAAATTCATTCTGCCGCATGGCTCAGCATGATTCACAAATTGCAGGCTAGCATTTTGAAATGTCATTTTTATTGATCTCCATTTGATGTTCCATTTGCCTTTCCTGGAGTAGACAAATTATGTTTATAGCATTTCCCTAATAGCAGACCTTGAAAATCTGAGTTTAAATGAGCTCTGAAAAAAACAGAACCAAATGAACTATCAGCGAAACTATATGAATGCACATAAATAAATACTGATTTTAGCATTAAAATATATCTTCCCTAAGACTTCATAGGTCACAATAAAGGTGCCAATGCAGTACATAATAGAACGACATATTACAGAGCATAACAGGCAGCTAAAAACTATAAGGAAAGTCAAAGTCGGGCCCAAAAATGTAAATCTGTCAATTGAACACATATGAAATATAAAGCATGGTTCAAAGAGTGTGATTAGAAAAAATAAATATCAAATCCTATTCTGTAGAAGCCAGAAGTCT